ACTTTTATGGAAAATTTTCATGTCTTTAATGCAAGTGAGATGGGCATCCCATAGGACCTTTATGGATAGGCTATAGACTATGGCCCATATTTTAATGGTCTAAGCGCATGGTCTAAAGTGCACTTTGGGGCGTGTCTGAATCCACTTTTGCTAGTTTAACAACGGGAAAAATGGTCAGTGCGACAGATACATGGTCCAAAAGGGTTGTACTTATTCTCTTAATGAGTCATGGGTGTGTTTTGGGTGTAAGATGCAATAAACCAATTACAGTCTTATCTCCCATTCCTTTAAAAAGTTAGTTGCACTCGGGCCATAGCGGATTCGCTATTTACGTGGCAGAATTTGCAAGAGCCGTGCACTCTAGTCCATGCGCTTAGATCGTTAAAATATGGCCCATTTGGTCAAAGGTGCAGTCTATTTCAGTTGCCTCAAAATAGCAACGTGCCAACAATGTGCCTGAACACACCTCGTTTTCTGACCAGCATGCCCCTGGGCGCACAAATGGGCGCAAATGCATTTGCTATTTAAACAACATGGGGCAGGACGTAAAAATTATAACTGCGTCGGGCTGAAACTAGCAAAAAACGCCAGGTGTATGATAGGGCCCTTTATGATTAATCTTCTGTGAATATTGTGTTATTGAGAAGTTATTGGTTGCAAAATGTGTTTTTTTAATTTGAAATTGTTATCTTTGTAAGCAGTTATCATACACTGTTTCATAACCACTTAACAACACCAGATGTTTCCTGATATATTTCTCAATATATGATTGTGTCAGCTTCAAGTTGTCACAATAACTGCGGTCAGACAACAGGATTAGGGTCTTCAAGAGTTCACTGCAAAACTTATAGAATTAACTGCACAGGTAATTCATTCGATCTTGATCCAGCATATTACATTTAAGTCAAGTCACCTTTATTTATATAGCGCTTTATACAATTCAGATTGTGTCAAAGCAGCTTTACAGATTCAAACAGGAAAAAAAGTGTGCTGATAAAGCAAGAAGACAACAGAAAACAGTTTATTAGTTAAAGTCATTGTTGATTCAGTGATGTCATCGTCCAGCTCAGTTCAGGTCTCTTCCAATAGTGTCTGTGCAGTCAAGTCAACAATGTTGCCAGAAATTGCATCCCAACTAAGCAAGCCGAAGGTGACAGTGGCAAGGAACCAAAACTCCATCGGTGACAGAAATGGAGAAAAAAAAAACTCTCCTCTGGCCAGACGAAACGAGCATGGTGTGTTAATTCAAGGCTGCAACACATGTCAGATTGAGCAGAGGACTCGTCTGGTTCTCGTGGTCTTGTGCCGATGGCCGTCTAGTTGATAAGGTCTTCGCAGGTGATCTGTCTCTAGGGTTCATCTAGTTGACATGGTCTCTGCTGACATTCAGTGCTGGAGAGGTCGTCTCTAGGTGCTGATCCACCATCTGGACTGGAAACGGACTGAATCTGTGTGGCTGCAGTGACCCCGGAATAAGAATAAAACAGACTAATAATAGCTTATGCCATTCTTCTTATGATGTAACAAGTACATCGGGTGTTATGGGAAGTGTTCCCAGTTCCGGTTGACCTAATTAATGCAGCCTAACAATCCTTTAATTAATTTTAATTATAGAAAAGTGATTGTGTGTTATATGTATGCCAGATTAAAGAGATGAGTCTTTAATCTAGATTTAAACTGACAGACGGTGTCTGCCTCCCGAACAACGCTAGGTAGATTGTTCCAGAGTTTGGGCGCTAAATAAGATCTACCGCCCGCAGTTGATTTTGATATTCTAGGTGTTACCAAATGGCCAGAGTTTTGAGATCGCAGTGGATGTGAAGGACATTAATGCTATATGAGCTCGCTCAAGTACTGAGGAGCTAAACCATTCAGGGCTTTAATTAGCAATATTTTAAAATGTAAACAATGTTTAATAGGGAGCCAGTGCATTGTTGAGAGAACCAGGCTAATATGGTCATACTTCCTGGTTCTAGTAAGAACTCTAGCTGCTGCATGTTTGGACCAGCTGGAGTTTGTTTATTAAGGGCACAGAGCAACCACCCAATAAAGCATTACAGTAATCTAACCTTGAGGTCATGAACGCATTAATTAAAGTTTCTGCATTTGACATTCAGAGCATCAGCATAGGTTGTAATTTAAATAAATTTTTAAGATGTAAAAATGTGGTTTTACAAAATAGAAACTTGACTTTCAAAGGAAAGGTTGCTATCAAAAAGCACACTAAGTTTCTAACTAATGATGAAGAATTGAGAGTGCAGCCATCAAGTGTTAGACAGTGTTCTAGATTATTACATGCAGATGTTTTTGGTCCGATAATTAAGACCCCTGTTTTTTTAGTAGGAAATTACTAGTCATCCAGTTTTGTTAAATCAACCATTCCTTTAGTTTTATGAATTGGTATGTTTCGTCAGGCAGCGAACAAACATAGAGCTGAGTATCATCAGCATAACAGTTAAAGCTAATACTATGTTTCCTGATGATATCTCCCAAGGGTAACATGTAAAGTGTGAAAAGCAACGGTCCTAGTACTGAGCCTTGTGGTACTCCATACTGCACTTTTGATAGATATGATACCTCTACGAAAAATTTCCCTTGTTTATTAACTCATTTATTCATTATTATAAGATCAAACATCTGAATTACATAGTTTTAGCTGGTAATTTCCAAGTACCAGATTTATTCAAGAAACATTTAAGACTTTTCCTTGACATTATACTGTTCCTTTACATTATATTAAAATGTTGTATCAGACCAAAGAGCTCTGGGTGAAAATTGTGTTCATGTTACATGACTTAGATTACTATAGTATAGTACTACAGTAGTAATACATATAACTTAAAAATAAAAATAAAAATGTTATACTTTCCCCCAGAAATGTTTTGTTTTGTTTTTTAAATCATAAATTTCATGAACATGTAGGCTATGAAATGTTTTTATGTAAATAAGACCCTCAAATAAATGAGTGTTATGTCAGTCAGATCATTCTATCACAGGCACAAAAATGTAAAGAAATGCCATGTCATGGTTTTAAATAAAGGAAGGGTGAATAAACTCAACGTGTACATTTTAGCCTACCTCTTATATAAAGTAGTACATCCATCATTTTATTTGAACTATTTACTCAGTATTACATTTTAGTGAAATTCAAATATAATAAAACTATAATAAAATAATCCTAGAATAGTAGTATGAAGAATATCATAACAAAGCAGAATTCTTAAGTGTAGTACCGGGATAATAATGACTGGTAAACTAATGGCCAGGGAAACTCACATCCAGGACTTTCACTATCAGCACTGGCGCCCCTCAGGGATGTGTGCTCTCCCCACTACTCTTCTCCCTGATGACTTCACCTCTAAAGACGCCTCTGTCAAACTCCTGAAGTTTGCAGATGACACAGTCATCCAGGATGGTGACGAGACTATAGAAGTGAGGTTGAGCAACTGGCTGGCTGGTGCAGTCTTAACAACCTGGAGCTCATCACTATCAAAACTTTGGAGATGATAGTGGACTTCAGGAGGAACCCCCCTGCTCTCCCCCCACTCACCATCATGAACAGCACTGTGGCTGCAGTATTCATTCAAGTTCCTGGGCACCACCATCTCTCAGGACCTGAAGTGAGACATTCACAATGACTCTGTTGTAAAAAAAAGGCCCAGCAGAGGTTGTACTTCCTTCGCCAGCTGAGGAAGTTCAACCTGCCACAGGAGCTGCTGAAACAGTTCTACTCGACCGTCAGTGAGTGTCCTGTGTTCATAACTGTTTGGTTTGGCTCAGCTACCAAATCAAACATCAGGAGACTATTCAGCCCACTTTCTATTTGCACTGTTGCCCTCTGTCCGGCGCTATAGAGCACTGAGCACCAGAACAGCCAGACACAAGAACAGCTTTTTCCCTCAGGCCATGTTCCACCTAAATCAGGGGTGTCCAATCCTGCTCCTGGAGGGCCACTGTCCTGTAGAGTTTAGTGCCAACTCCAATTAAACACACCTGAACCAGCTAATCAAGGTCTTACTAGCATACTAGGAACTTTCAGGTAGGTGTGCTGAGGCAAGTTGGAGCTAAACTCTACTGAGCCTTGTGGTACTCCATACTGCACTTTTGATAGATATGATACCTCTACGAAATAATGATAGTCAGATTGGTATGATTTGAACCATGCTAATACAATTCCACTAATGTCAACATAATTTTCTAGTCTATTCAAAAGAATGTTGTGGTCGATAATGTCGAAGGCAGTGCTAAGATCCAGTAGCACTAATAGAGAGATACAACCACGATCGGATGATAAGAGCTGGCCATTTATAACTTTCAAAAGAGCAGTCTCAGTACTGTAATACAGTCTAAATCCTGACTGGAAAACATTTAGAAATTGCGCATTTCAAAGCATCGTTTTTGTGTATGTCGCCAAATTTGTGACGTGGGAAGTTCAGAATTTGGCACACAGTGAATCCTGCTCCTGGAGGGCCACTGTCCTGTAGAGTTTAGTGCCAACTCCAATTAAACACACCTGAACCAGCTAATCAAGGTCTTACTAGCATACTAGGAACTTTCAGGTAGGTGTGCTGAGGCAAGTTGGAGCTAAACTCTACAGGACAGTGGCCCTCCAGGACCGAGTTTGGACACAGACCTAAACAATACATAACACATCTCAGACTGTACATCTGTAAATAACTTCTCAAAACTTTTCATCTGTAAATAGCACATACGCACAATCACAATTCCGTCTATTGATATTTTCTTTTTCTTATATTTTATATTATTTTTGTATTTATTATCTATTCTCTTTCTTATTAGTGTTAATAATAGTTAATTTGTGTTTTATTTCATTTTATTACCTTAAATTATATGTCTGTACTTTCTGCACTGGAAGCTTCCGACACCAAGACGAATTCCTTGTGTGTGTAAACACACTTGCCAATAAAGCCCTTTCTGATTCTGTTTGTGAACTCCAGTCCGGGTTTCTCGCAGCGCCAAACAGCTCCGCAGACGCGGAACATACTCCATTCCGGGTTTTCCGTTGATCCGCTGTGGCGCGGTAGTAAAACAAAAGACAGTCGGGCCATAGCTGAACCTTTATAAGAGTGGATATTATTCTGTCGGAGTTTATTGGTTTCTCGTCGCATGAACCCGATTTCTTCAGTATTATCTACATTATTCAGAAGACCGTTCTTTGGACCGGAATGACATGACAGGAGCCTGATACTGGACAGTAAGTATTGTGAAATGAGTTAGCCTCCGAGCTAACAGCCTGCCAGACCATATTATAGCACTGTAATAACCACACGTAAACATTTCCGGCTTTCTACGTATTGCTTCATAGATCAAGCAATACAAGGAATATTTAAGGTAATTTATTGTGATTTAAAAGCTCAGCTGTGTGTGTGTGTGTGTGTGTGTGTGTGTGTGTGTGTAATTTTCTAGTCTATTCAAAAGAATGTTGTGGTCGATAATGTCGAAGGCAGTGCTAAGATCCAGTAGCACTAATAGAGAGATACAACCACGATCGGATGATAAGAGCTGGCCATTTATAACTTTCAAAAGAGCAGTCTCAGTACTGTAATACAGTCTAAATCCTGACTGGAAAACATTTAGAAATTGCGCATTTCAAAGCATCGTTTTTGTGTATGTCGCCAAATTTGTGACGTGGGAAGTTCAGAATTTGGCACACAGTGTCAATACCTCCATAACCACAGTTCATTCACACAGAATATGTGCACTGAAGGTGTGTGATACAAAGTGAAATTAAGAAAATGTTTTTTTTCTGAAACATACATACTGCGTTTTAGTTGAAGATGTACATCATTCTTTACAATACTTTATAGCAGTTGATTATCAGCTGGTTAAGATCCACTGGTTTATGCAACATCATAAAGAAATATCCAAAAGACTAGAGTTATTTTTTGACCTGTTTATTGGTATTAGATATCAGTATAGTTGGAATTGTTGTTGTGATCTGTGATTTGGTTGTGACTAGTTTTCTAAATAAATAAAATAAGGCTTGAACAGAACATTGTGTAGATATGAGTTCCTGTTCAGAATTACAACTATTGTTAGATACATAACCAGAACTAAGGAAATAAAAAATATCTGACATTTAAGTAATGTAATTGCTTGTTGAATTTACAATTTCTCTTATACAGTGCTCTGTAATTGACAACTAAACAGGGAAGCACAAATCTGTGTCTGTGTCTCTCACTGCAGACTCGCGCCACTCCCCGGGTCACACAGAAACTATTACATTAAAATACAATTTAACGTAATTTAACGAAGCTAAGCGCGGTAACACCAACCACCTCCGTATGTTGTGCTTCAGTAGCTACTTTAGCAGTATTTCTTGGTTAACATCTGTGCTTGTGAGGCTTACAACACGTTCTTGGGTTTTAAAAGCAGGGACCCCCTAAAAATGTACCATGGTAACTTTGTTGTTTCCACTATTGTTGCTACATTAAATCTGTGGTAAGTTAGCATTAGCCACCACTCTCATTAACAAATAATAACAAATGCCAGTAAGATCATAACAAAGATCTCAATAATTTAACACTTTACTCAAGTAGAAATAACTGTTTTTTTGGACGAACATACTAAAGCATATGTAAAAGTACCTGATTATAAATGTAGCACGTAATTTGATATTACATTTATTACATTGCAGCTTCATCCTTACAAATATTTAAATAGAAATATATGTAAGTTTCAGTAGAAAGGTTTCATTTAGCGGGGTGCTTGATACTGAGGGATTGTTTCATTGTAGGGTTGATGTTTACGGTGCAAGCGTCCCATTTTTGCAGGAACCGCAGAGCCTCCGTGTGGGGCCCGAGGACCATGTTCCGTCCTGGAGGAGAGAGAGACTTCCAGACGTCGGCTCGTAGGATGGGGACGTCCCTGCTCTTCCAGCTGTCGCTTCATGAGCGAGAGTTGGACCTCGTGTTTCTTGACCACAGCTATGCCAAACCCTGGAACGCCCACCCGGATGCCAGCAGCGCGCGGCCCACCCGCATGCTGTTCGTCACCCCGCGGCGGCAGCCGGAGCCTTCTGTGTGAGTGAAGAATTCTGGATTATCAGTGGCGGGAGATATTTTGCCTGGTTTACACTTGGAATTAACACCTGTTTTGGGTGATCTGATCACAAGTTATCAAGTGCAAGTTAGCATCTCAAATCATTTCTCCTGGAGCTCAAATGTGTCTGATAATAGTGTAGCGCACTAGCGCTGTCTGCTTGTGATCAGATTGCCTGAAACAAATGTTACATCACTGGTTTGCAACTATGACGTCAGCTGTTCATTATTTAGATTATTTTATTTAGGGCCCTATGGATTCCGTCATGAATTCCGCTTGTTTGTTTTAATTAATTTTTTTGGCAAATTAATTTTTAGTAATCAAGTCTAGTTGAAATCATGAAATGTGTTCAATTTAACAATAATTTATTTGAATTTTAACACGTTAAATTTTTTGACCCTTATATTTTGCTGTTGTATTTTTTTCATTATTATTTCTGTATAATTTTTGTATTATTTTCCCCAAATTCTGTGTTTTCCATTTAAATTTTTCCATTTCAGTGGTTTAATTATTTTTTAATTCATAACATTTTATCATTTCAATTATTTAGTACGTTTTTTTACAATAATATACCTTAATCAGATGTGCTTTAATTTTCTGGAACATGACTGTATATAAATTTATTAGCAAAAATAGTGGTAATCAAATGAAACCATAAAACATTAACAATTTGTGAATCAATCAATTATTTTTTTAAGCATAATGTAATTACATTTTTTGGTAAATGAGGTTGTGCGGAAATCATATGGCCCAAGACATTTTAAAGCTGGTCTGTTTATAAGTAAATGCATATGGAGTTATAAATGTGAATTGAAAAAATGTTATCCACTACAGTGATTCGGACATTTCCATTGATGTAGAGACGGTCACACCCATGCCAATGCCTCTCTATGACAATCAGAAAGCCCGTAGTGTGATGAACGAGTGTGATCGTCACGTTCTGTTTGCTCGAACCATCGCTGATGGACCACTTCCTCCAGATGATTGGGAAGAACACATCAACAAGTAAGAAAAGCTGCTCTAGGATAACTACAAGTTTGCAGATGTATGAGAAGAAAAATATAGTTTTCTCAAACATCTGAGCTGCTCTGTTGGTGATCAACTGTTCTTCAATCTGTTTTAGGGCTGGCTGGTCATTGGCTCAGAACAAGCTCTTCAATAAAGTATTGAAAGCACTGCAGGCAGAAAGACTCAGCAGACTGGCCAATGAGGGGGTGAGTTTTCAAACCTGGGGTTAACTCGCAAGCTCTGTTTTGTTTAGTTAAATGCAAGAGCTGCTGATTATTAAAGGTGCTTGTAACAATTTTTTCACTGGCTGTAATGATGGTGGTCCTAGACTGTATACTAGATGTCTTCTAAAGGTCCTAAGATCTGTACCTGATCACTTCTTACCCAAACCTGACGTGCGTAATTTATTATTTTTTTAAACAAAAGAAAAACTCAACCCGAGTTGATAAAATACGAAATCCCACATCAGATCTTCTTACCTTTTTTGTAGGTGAAATTCATTCTCTGATCCTGCTTCTTGGCACTTTAGGTTTGGTAATTTACAGTTTACAGACAAGAGAGGAGAAGCGAAGAAATAATTATGATATAGAATTACTTGATAAGTTTTTTGTTTTTCAAATATATATATATATATATATATATACACACACACACAGATTGGTCTTCTCTAGACCTCTATTTGGTAAAAAAACACATTTATTTAAAATGACCTGATCACAATATATTTTATACACAATTGCTATTTATCACAATGGGAAGAAAATACTTTCCACATGTTTTTTAGACCTTGAGAATTAATGTAAACGCAACTTGTTTGTTCACTATTGAACTCCAAAGACTAGCAACCTTTTAATTTAGGGCCCCATTAAATTTGCTTGTGTCTTTCATTTTATTTTTTTCTGGATTCTGTTTTATGATATATTACAATTTTATCATCAAAATGGTGTCTAATTAAATGTATTAATACAACTTTAACAATTGAATCAATCTTTTAAATTGTAATCAAATGAAAATATGACAATTAATTTGGATGAAAAATATCTTGGTTGTATGAAAGTCCTTAAAAATATTATTGTTATTTCTTTAAGAAGTAAATTTTAGTGTACAGTAGTAGTAATATATTTCTGTCACAATTTCTTCAAGTTAAACTGAACTTTTATTTTGATGGTTTGTCATGAAGATCTTTCAGTTTTACTTTCAGTTTCAGTGTGTGTTTGATGGTAGTTTTTCTCAAATAAATGTGACTCTCAGAGCAGCTCTGGAGAAGTTTACCTCCTTATATATTGAGACACAGACGCTGAAAACACTGCAAGCGTCACATGTTTGCGTTTGTGTAGTAGATGAAACTATGCCACTCATTCACACAGACGCGCACAGATCATGCAGACTTACAGTGGCATGCACCGACTGGCTGCTGTCGTGTTTATTTCTGCTGTGTGTGATAGACTGTTAGATTAATCCTTATCAAGTAAAAATGTCCAGAGCTTGTCATTGATATCAACATAACTTTTATCGCAATCTCTATATGATTGTTTATAGCCCAGTCCTACCCGAGGCTACTAATATCAGTATCAGTTGGATGTCAACAAACAAAAGATATGAGATGCATTGTTCCTTTTTAAAAGTTGATAATCCTATTTGTTTAGCTATGCATGATTATTTTCTAAAATTGGATTATTTGCTTTTACCATTATTTATCCCTGCTGTCGGAACAGACCTGCCACAAAACCAAATGAGAAACATCATGATGGATAGATGGTTGTTCTAATGCAAAATGCTCTCTCTCTTACTCTGTGTCTCTGCTCTTCACAGGCCAGTAATGAACCTGTCTTACGCAGAATAGCTGTGGATAAATGTGCTCGTAAGGTCCGCCACGCTCTGGCCAGCATCAACTGGGACATAAAGCTGACTCAGTGGCTTCATAGCACACTTGTGGAGTCTTTGAGTCTTGCTATGCTGGCCGCTTACCTTGATGTACTGCAGACACTCAAAAGCAAGGTGGGATGCCTTATTATCATATTATCACGGTTTGTGTAGAGTCCATAGGAAGAGGTTACACTGTTTTTTATTCTTCTCTTATGACATCTCCACATTTACCCTTTTAGGTACCATCCCTGATCGACAGGATGTTGCTGTCATCCTCTGTAAAAACAGGAGCGGCGGGAGCTGAGGCTCTTTCTCTGCTCCTTAAGCGGCCATGGGACCCTGCTGTGGGTGTACTATCACACAACAAACCAGTATGTACTGCACTTTATTTTGTTCTTTTGATATAATTGTAATAATGTCCCCTTTCAGGTCGTGGGTCATGTGTCTTTTTGCTGTGAAATATAAACTATTTCTTATAAAGTAAATGTAACTTTTATGTTGTTGGTGATATTTCAAGATGAACACTTACAAAATATCTCAAAACAAATACATTTTTATTCATCTATTGCAACAAGAACAACTAATATAAAATAAAAATGATTAACAGGCGCAAGCGTAGGCAGAGTTTCTATTTATAACACGTGTTTGCAGCGTCGAGCAATCTAGCCAATCACAGACATATCTGTTGATTTCTGGAGCGCAATGACCAATCAGAGGTGTCTAATCCACTCACCGCTCAAACGCCGGAGTTCCTGTGCAGTGCTGAAATTTGCGTGCTCACGAATCCTCTCATTAACACACGAATTATGAACGATTCATTATGCATATATTCATTGTGGTATAACAGAGCTTTGTGAGTCAACTTTTTAGAGATTATAAAGGAAGCGCTGTTCGCATTCTGCCATTCCAAACCATGCACGCCGCAGCCTATGCTTGCTTTTAGTTAAAAATAACAGTGGGTTTTGAATGTTGATGCTTTAATAACACATATTTTATCAGGAGCGGTTATGCTGGGATTTTGTGGCTAGGCGTCATGAAACGTACTATTTCATGTCAATTTCATTGATGTACAGACAAAAGTAACGTAACTAGTAATGTAACTAAATACTTCTGAAATAAATTAATCAGAACTTGATTATTTTTAAAAGGGGAGTAATCGGTAATCTGTCATTTGAATTACATTTCCAGAGTAACTTGCACAACACTGCTCTCAACTATCATTGTATTGCATTGCATTATTTGTTTGACCCCATAATAAAAATGGCAGCGCTTTGATTATAAAACTAAACATTTAAATATTATCTTAAGACATTCTGTTATAGATATAGAGTAACAACTGAAATGTATATGCATTTCGTGTAAATGGTCTGCTATACTGTTATAAATATACCACTGATTCACATTACAAGCTATCAGAATTTAATCTCACTTTTTGGCTATATGAATACCAGCATCTGCATCAAATTTGTTTTGAAGATTAATTTTTAATGTTTTGTCTGAAGGTTCAATAAACTTCAATAAAAAAAAAAAAAAAAAAAAAAATTTTCTGACTATGTCAGGCTTTACAGGGTTATTGAGAATGGGAGATACTTGTTTGTGGTAGTATTTGTGTAATATAAAAGTCTTTAACAGGAAATGTCTGCTATACTCCTGATGGATGTCTTGATTGCTGTCTGAATCTGATTTGTGTGCTCATGTTTATTATTTCAGAGTAAACTTCCTGGATCCCCCCTGATCCTGATAGCCCCCTCAGGACCAACAAATCCCACCTTCTCTACCTCCCGACGAATGAGATTCTGGCAGTCTCAGCTCTCCTGTCTAGGGAAGGTATGCAAAATCACAGGCAAATACAGCTGTCTCAAACACTTCGATTTTGTGTTCTCCATCATAATTTCAGATGTAGGCTTGGTTTCATTGAGATTAACATAATTTGTAAATAAAATATTGTGTTAATGTTATTCTTGCATTCATAGAGTCCTTTCAGTTTCTGATTGAAATAAAACTGATTCTGCATTTTGTGTCTGTCTGTTTTGGTGATTCAGGTCATTCCCATTAACGTTCATGTGGGCAGTGGAGCCAACATCGGAATCACGCAGTGTGTAGAGCACATGATCGGCACAGTCAGAGGAAAAGTCATTGAGGTACAAAACAACACACAGCTCTAGCTAGCCAATGACACTTTCGCTTAGAGAAAACTATAGAAGTCAGCGATGTGATTTTTCTGTATTTTCTGATCTCCGGTGTATGATCCATGTGAATTGTATATATGAGGAAAATTGGATACATTTTCAGATACATTTAAAATGCATTTATTTTATGCTTAGTGTGGCTTTCAGCAGCACTCAGACAGTGTTCAAAATGAACACATGATTAGCAGCAAAAGTGAGTAAAAACCCAGTGTTGGCGAGTGTATATAAATCGTGTCATCCGGCCAGTAACCTGTGCATGTTTCAGAGTGCAGCATGGTACTGTGTTCAGTAACAAGTGAGCAGCTCATGATCCAGTGTTTTCAGTGTCCTGGAGCACTTCACAGGAAATGCTGCTCTACAAGTGCTGTGAGTTTGGGTTGATGGTGCCAACCATCTTCCCAAATTTGTTATCAACAAAAGGGAAGCTTTAAGGTCTGCACATACACTTTTGAAAGCAAAGCAACCTCGGCATCCGATTCCAGGCCTTCACGCTCCTTGAGTTTCTCCACTGATGGAAAGATGCTCCAATATTTATGCGGGTCCTACCTCTTGCCTGATCGTAACCCTCCTTTTTAATGTTTTGTTCCTCTGAAATTTTCCTCTTTTATTTTTTTTTTATGTGCAATCTCTCGCTATCTATAGTCGATCTGCTAATATCTGTCCTGTGTACTCACTGAGCGCTCTCTTCTCCCTATCATTACTAGACACGCCCCTTACTGCTGATTGGCTGCGAGTGTTTTGGGACACGGTCTGACAATGTGGTCAAAAGGGTTTTTCAAGAATCGCTTAGTGCACCTTTAAGACATAAATATTAGTATTGTAATTTTACTGTTGTTTTCTGAAATATATTATTATTGTATAAGAATTTACAAGGTTTTTCTTCTTCTTTTTTTTTTTTTTTCTTAGCTGATCACGTCAGATAAATGCTGTTCTTGTCCATCTAGATGTCCTAAATTTATTTTGTTATCAATTTGTGATTGTCTAGTAATTATAAGAAATTAAAGGCATATTCTTATATTCCTTAATCGTTTGTACAAATAAATTTATAGAGAGCACTTATTTGTGGAATTGGTCTAGAATACCACAGAAAATAATAACAAGCCACAGTTTGTAAAGTATGGGAAAAAAAAATTACACAGCTGAATACTGGATATAATTTATATAAAGTTGTTGAATTGTTTATTTTTAAAATGATTAATTTGTTTATAAATGACATATTTTACTAAAATGTCCTGCTTTTAATAACAGTTCTGTCAGGACCACTATCGTCAACATGATAGATACTTAGCATAAAGTTTGGTTTGGCGGTATGGTTCTGTTCTGGGCAAAAACCTCCCTGCCCATCCATGCAGCCTGTCATGAATGAGCAGGGAGAGCAGCAATAATAACCCCCCTAGGGTTAACAGAACAGAACAAGGCAGATATCATTAATGTACTTAATGATATTTAAGTGTAACACTTTATTCAAGATAAAGGAGTCTGATTAGCAAGGAATATCAGAAAGCCAAGTCCTGACTGTGGCGAAAGGAGGAGCTGGGGATGGAGGAGGGTAATTTGCTCCTGAGCAAGCTGAAAAGCTGCTGAATAATACTGAATAGAGCTTATATAGGAATGCCGCGATAGGTGTCGTATTCCTATAGGTTGATGTGATCATCTGAGAATCAGCTGATGCAAGCTTGACTCGCGTGACCTGCCAGAACTAACGCTAACGCTTAATTTGACAATTATTATAATTTTTTTTAATTATCTGTCATTGTATGTCATTTTAAATTATCATGTTCGTGCCAAAAAAATAATATTTGGTGATGGGAAAAAAACTAAACATGAAGTGTTTAAAGATAATTGTGTTCTTTTGCTCTAGGTTCACAGTCACTTCCCTCACAAGCCGATCATCTTGGTGGGCTGGAATGTGGGGTCATTGATCTCTTGTCATGTAAGTCTCTCTCAACATTAGTTTTCTGCATTGTCGTCTATGATCAGCTGTAAACTGATGAATTTATAGATGTCTGTGTTTGTGTCCAGGTGTCCCTTATGGAGTATGTGACTGCTGTTGTGTGTTTGGGTTTCCCCCTCCAAACTGTCAATGGGCCACGAGGGGTAAGAGGAAACACAGTTCATAGTTTCTCCCTGCTCTTTGCCATGATGAGCAGCATGAGAACATTTAGCAGATGCTTTAAAGATTGCGGGCTGAAGTATAATGTTTGGACTGTGTTTGTCAGGATGTTGATGATCCGCTGTTGGACATGAAGACTCCAGTGCTGTTTGTGGTCGGTCAGAACGCACTTCAGTGCAGTCCTGAGAACATGGAGGAGTTCAGGGAGAAGATTCAGGCTGATAACAGCATGGTAGTTGTTGGAGGGTCAGACGACAACTTGAGGTTTGTGTTCGTGTCTTCAGACATTCACGTGTGTGTTTCTGGTGAAGCACTCTGTATAGACTGGTTGCGAGCATTCGGCTTTGTTTACAGGATCAACTCCACTAAGATGAAGACGGAAGGCCTGACCCAGACCATGGTGGATCGCTGCATTCAAGTCAGTACTTCTCACTTCTCTTCCCCACAAAATTAATAAGCATAGTATTCAAATCAGTTAAGCTTGATTTCACATGTCATTCAGGGTGAAATGAAAGGTCAGAACCAGCTAAAGTCTAATTTTAGGGAAAGCTGACTGCTCGGTCTTGTGTGTCCCCTATAGTGTTTAGCCACAGTCTTTTTTTCCCTTTGTTTTCAGGATGAGATAGTTGATTTTCTGACAGGAGTTTTGACCCGTACTGAGAGCCATGGCCATGGCTCCGGTGAGACTCGAGATTTGGATGCAGAGAAGAAGAAGAAACCTCGTCGTGAGCTGCCCTTTGACCTTGAGAGGTCACGACCCTCTTCACCTGCTGTGAGGGTACCCATCTCCCCATCTGGATCTGAGGTGAGAAGATTTGAAAACAAATGTGACCCTGGAGCACAAAACCAGTCTTAAGTCGCTTGGGCATATTTGTAGCAATAGCCAAAAAAAAATTGTACGAGTCAAAATTACCGATTTTTCTTTTATGCCAAACATCATTAGGATATTAAGTAAAGATCATGCTCCATGAAGATATTTTGTAAATGTCCTACTGTAAATATATTAAAACTTAATTTTTGATTAGTAATATGCATTGCTAAGAACTTCATTTGGACCCCTTTAAAGGCGATTTTCTCAGTATTTAGATTTTTTTGCACCTTCAGATTCGAGATTTTCAAATAGTTGTATCTCGGCCAAATATTGTCCTATCCTAACAAACCACACATCAATGTAAAGCTTAATTATTCAGCTTTCAGATGATGTATAAATCTCAATTTCAAAACATTGACCCTTATGACTGGTTTTGTGGTCCAGGGTCACAAATGTTGGATACACCAAGAGATATGTGTAAGCTTTGTCAGCTTTATCCTCATCTACGTAGAAAACTTCTATTCGGTTTTATTTTTCCCAAATTATGTTTTATTTTTTTTTTCTGTACTTTTTCTGGATTCTATTTTAATGGTTAAATTAAATTGTGGTAATCAAAAAGAACGTCTAATTATAATAAAATATAAACATAAATAAAACTTTTAGTACAATTTACTATGTATATATATATATATATATATATATATATATATATATATTAGG